GGCGCCGCGGGGTGGGCCTGGCCCTGATGGCGTCCCGGGCGTCACTGTTGATTGGGGAAGAGAGGCGGAGCCTGGGCGCTGCAGGGCGGGGCCGGACGTCGTTGTTGGCGGGGAAAGAGGCGGGGCCTGCGCCGCTGCAGGGCGGAGCCAGGCGTCTCTGTGGGGCGGGGCGAGGGGAGAGACCGGGCGTCGCTGTAGGGCGGGGCCTGCGCCACTGCGGGGCGGGGGCGGGACCGGGCGTCGCTGTGGGGCGGGGCGGCGCATGTTTACGTCCCGCCGGGCGCGCCGCGTCGCCGCCTGAGGTTGTTCGGCCGGGGTCCGAGCTTCTCGCACCATGGACACCAGCGACCTGTTCGCCAGCTGCAGGAAAGGGGACGTGGGCCGCGTGCGGTGAGGACCCGCGGTCCCGGGAGGGCGCAGGGGGAGTGCCCCGGCCGGCGGGCGTGCAGCGGCTCTCAGCTCCCACCCGCGGAGCGCCGGGGCGGACTCGCAGCCCGAGGGCTCCCTGGAGGAGGGCACGCTGCCACCCAGTGGCGCCGGATGCGGACCCCGGGGCAGGCTGGGACCCCCTAGGTGGCTCCTTTCTCGTACCTGACGCTGCGGACCGGACCGCGGTCCCCCGGGAGGCAGAGGCTCCCGGTGCAGCTCGCGCCAGTTCCAGGGGCCCGACGGGGAGGCCGGGGGCGCCCCGTTGGGACCCGGGCACCCCTCTTCCTTGGTCCTCCCTCGCCCGGGACTTCTGGCACCCCCTCCCCCAGCTGATCCCAGGCTGGGGCACTCTGGCAAAGCCTCGCGGGGCCCTCCCCGACTTCAGGTGGCACCCAGGAGGGGGTGGATGAGCCGCGGAGCCGAGTGGACTCCGCCTTCCCGGGTCTCTCCCTGGCCGTCTCCTGGCTGCCCGTCCGCCCAGAGCTGGCGCATCACCCCCTCTCTCACTTTCTCTCCCGGGTCACCTACCATGTCCCACGTGTGCCCTTTTAGATCGGCGCCCCTGTGCCTGTCCCTGATACCTGAGCTGCGTCGTTCCCCCTGCCTCTAGAGCAGAACCAGCCTACTGCCCCCCAAAGCCGGAGGGCTCTGGCTGAAATAGGGGCCCCATCGCCTCTCTCCCAAGTGCAGGAAGCTCAGCGTCCCATCCTTCTCCCCTCCTGAGCCTGG